GTTGCACTGGTTAGAACCGCCAGTGCAGCGTTGGACAGAAGCGGTGAGAGCAGACTTTCTTGTCTTGTTCCCCCTCCTGGAGGGAAAACATCCAGTCTTGTGCCACCAAGTAAAATGTTACCTGAATTTTTTTTGCAGATGCCCTTCATCAGGTTGATTAAATTCTCTTCTGCTTGTAGTTTGCTGAGACTTTTTTAAAAAATTATTTTGGACAGAAGTTGGATTTTGCAGCGGCTTTTTCTGTATCTTTTGAGATAATCCATGATTTTTATTTTTTAGTCTGGTAATATGGTGAATTATATTGATTTTTGAATCATAAACCAATTTTTCATTCCTTCAACAAACCTCAGTTTGGTATGATCTATTGTGTATATTGCTGGATTCCATTTGCTATGATTTGTTGTTTTTTTTTCTTTTTGCATCTACATTAATGAAAGATGTGGTCTTTAGTTTTCTTTTTTTCTGGTTTTGGTATCAGGATGATGCAAGGTTCATCAAATAAGTTTTTAACTTCAAGTCCGATGTTTCTTCTGTTAGCATACTGACATAGCTCAAAAAGCAGAGTGGAAAGTTATTTATTAGCATGTTGAGAATAATCTCATAAAATAGAAAGGCTTCTTACAAGCTTTTGTGTTTGAACTGGTGGTGGTCTGATTATTAGTTCCTATTGTTGAAATGCTTATAGACATACAGGCATAACATGTAAGAGGTAGAAAGGAGTGATAAAAATTGTCTAGTCTGAGCATGTGTTGAAGAAATGCATAAACATAATGACTGATAAGACAGTGTATTACCTTAGAATCACCTTACCTAAAAGCAATTACTGTCTATCACTGTAAATAAAATTTATATTCTTTAGCAATCCAAAATAGCCCATCTCATGATGCATTTTCCCTCTCTATTCATTCCATTCACAACACGGATTTCGTAAAAGGTCACTTTGGAAGCAGAACTGGAATAAGTACTAGCCACATTCTTGGTTTGTGACAGATTGAGAAGAGCTGACCAGTTGGTACACTTTGGAGTATTAAGTACTGATAGGCAGTACTTGTTTCTGACTTGCTCTTAGTGTAGATCACAGAGGCCCTCAACATGGAGTAAGTCTCCCCCACCACTTCCCCATCTGTTGTTGCTATTAGTCTGTACACAGTGGCTGGGGGGCCAGGGGAGGGCCTTGTATCTGTTTGAGCCCCAGAGCTTTCATCAGTGTGTGGACTAACGGTTTTTTAAGTCTTAACTGCTAAATTTCATTTTAAAATGAAACTGTGTGGAACTCCAATATAGAAAACAGATATCAACCTGAATCTTTCAGTATAAATAAATTTTTGCAAATTCAGTATTGTAAAATTCTACATTTAGTGATAAGCAGAATTGTGATTAATACAAATTTAATATAAAGGATATGAATAAGAGTCAATCATATCTTCTTCAGTAACCAGTTTATTTGGTTAATATCGGTCTTGAGAAAAAAATCCTGACTTCACGGATGATTTAGTTCATGTGGCTTTTTTTTTTTTTTTTTAACAGCTTGCCTTATAGTCTCAGAGTAATTCTTCAAGTAAACTCATCCAGAACTTGAACATAAAAGGAGTAGGAAATTGGTTTCACAGTTCAGTCATTAACAGTTTCTAACAGACCACTCACATTTTTTTATATGTATAAGAAAACAGACAAGAAAAGGGGAAAAATTAAATATCAAACAATTGATAATGTCTTGATGAGACTGTTATAGATTCCTTTATTGATTATTCTTGTTATGCTTTGAATGAGCACACAGGCCATATATGCTCTCATGTTGCTTGCCACTTAATTGCCTGTCACACATATGTGCTGTAGTCCATTTGCTTGTACAACTTTAATAGCAAATAGGTGCAGACCTGAATGGGATCGATGGGAGGGGAAGGAGAACAAAAGACCTGTGTAGCATTACGAACCTTCCTAATCAATGACACATTTATAGGAAATCCAAATATAGGCGCAACAGAAAAAACTATTCTCAGATTTGTATGAAAATGAGCTAATCTGGTTATGGTAGCTTCAGTGTAATAATATTTGGCACAGAACTCATTTGAATCTGTAAAATTGTTTTATCATACTTCAAGATATTTTACTTTTCTTTTTATTTTTTTTTTCAAGTTTATTTATTTTGAGAGAGTACATGAGCAAGGAAGGAGCAGCAAGGAAAGAGAGACTCCCAAGCAGGCTCTGTGCTGTGAATGCAAAGCCCTACATGGAGCTCAGTCTCTTGAACCATGAGCTCATGACCTGAGCCCAAACCAAGAGTCACTTTAGAATATTTTAAACACTGTTTTCAAAGGATATTCAAATTAAATGCTTGTGGAATTCTTGAACCTCTTCAGCAGGACCTGAGGGTTCTGTGGAATAGTTTGAAAACCACTCTCCTAGACCATGTCATTCCTCATAGGAATATTTCTTCCGCTTCTCTTCAATTCTTATTTCAAATTAGAATCCTGGGAAAATAAGAGGAAGTTACAGAAGTCTCTACTACAGTGTATCAACATTTATGAGTCTTGTATACTTAATGTTAGCAAATGAATAATTAAGAAAGCAGTCAACAGCAAAAATTGAGACTGAATTCATCCCCCAGGGGCTCCTGGGTGGCTCAGTCAGTTAAGCATCTGACTCTGGATTTCTGCCCAGGTCATGATCTCCCAGTTCGTTTGCGCTGACAGTGTGGAGCCTGCTTGGGATTTTCTGTCTCCTCTCTGCCCTTCCCCCGCTCAAAATAAATAAACCAAAAAAAATTCATCCTCTCAGATATGTATGAGACAGTGTATAGTTTGCAGTATTTTCTAATAATATATCTTACAAACACCTTATCTTTCATGCTTCACATATTCTTGTTATATGAGCATAAATTCATATTACTAATAGGCCTAAAATGAGATACTGATAATTTTAGTTCCTAAGCCTGATCTTTAAAATAGAATTCCAGGACTTTAACTTTCATACATTTATACAAGTTTTACCTAGAGGGAATATGATGCTACCCTTCGGCTTGTTTAAAACACACACACACAGATAGAATGATGTGTTTTGCACTCATGTTGCTTAAAGATAAACCCTTCATGTGGTAACTGTGGATTTTCTATCCCATACTTCTTCATTTCTCTGTCAGTTTCTTCACAATTTTCATTCATCTTTTCTCTCATTTTTACTTTTTATTAGAAGCATAAAATGTGTAATTGAAAGAGATCTTAGAGGCAGTTCAGTCCTCCATTTTACAGGAATTCATAATGAAGTGGTTTTAACCAGATGCTGGCTGGAAAAGAGCTTGAGTGTGAGTCCTTGAGTACCCAGATTTATATAAAGAAGAGAATCACAGAAATAATTATTTTCCTAACTTACTGCTTTGGTTCTGGAATCTCATGTGATCTTCCCTGCAACTTTGGACTTTGAACCACTGATGGGCAGAACAGTGTTCGTACCAGTTTAGTAATGGCCCATAGATAATATGTAAATAGAGATACATTTCTGTTAAGATCAACCCTAAATTATTTCGCTCAGCATAACACCCTCAAGGTCCATCCATGTTGCTACACATGGCCAGATTTCATTGTTTCTCATTGCCATGTAGTATTCCATGGTATAGATAAACCACATCTTCTTGATCCATTCATCTGTTGATGGACACTTAGGCTCTTTCCATGTTTTAGCTATTGTGGAGAGTGCTGCTATGAACATTGGGGTACATGTGCTCCTATGCCTCAGCATTTCTGTATCCCTTGGGTAAATTCCTAGCAGTGCTATTGCTGGGTCATAAGGGAGTTCTATTGTTAGTTTCCTGAGGAACCTCCACACTGTTTTCCAGAGGGGCTGTACCAGTTTACATTGCCACCAACAGTGTAGGAGGGTGCCCGTTTCTCCACATCCTCGCCAGCATCTAGAGTTCTCTGATTTGCTCATTTTAGCCACTCTGACTGGCGTGAGGTGGTATCTCAGTGTGGTTTTGATTTGTATTTCCCTGATGAGGAGGGATGCTGAGCATCGTTTCATGTGTCTGTTGGCCATCTGGATGTCCTCTTTGGAGAAGTGTCTGTTCATGTCTTCTGCCCATTTCTTCACTGGGTTGTTTGTTTTTCGGGCGTGTAGTTAGGTGTTATGCTGAGCGAAATAAGTCAGGCAGAGAAGGACAAATATCATATGTTTGCACGTATAGGAGGATTAGGAGGAACTTGACGGAGGAACAAGGGGGAGAAGAAGGGCGGAAATGGTGGGGGAAAGGGAGAGAGGCAAACCATGAGAGACTCTTGAATGCTGACAAAAACTGAGGACTGATGGATATGGGGGGGAGGGGGGGATGGGCATGGAGGAGGGCACTTTGGGGATGAGCACTGAGTGTTATGTAGAAACTAATTTGACAATAAACTATTTGTAAAAAAAAAAAAAAAAGATTGGGAAAAATAAATAAATTAATTAATTAAACCAGCAAAAAAAAAAAAAAAAGATCAACCCTAAAGTGGTGTGAAATGCAAATGGTCATGGATGGTGTCTAAGACTGAACCAAAATGGTGGTCTTGCCACCTCCCAGCTGTGTGGGCATGGGAAGTTACCTAGCTTCTCTAAGTCTCATTTTCCTCATCTTGACATAGGGAAATAACACATAAAGCTCCTTGTGTATATTAGGAGCTCAATAAAATAAGTTGGTTATAATGACAGAAGATAAAGGATATGTTAGAAGCATGACAGCCAAAGGTGAAGTCAAGAGAGGAAAAAGGGCTGCGACAGACACCAGATGGGAGGGTGGGGAATGTGAGCAACCGAGTAGGTGGGAAACCGGTCAGCTTGTATTTTGTTCAGCTCTACTGTTTCAGTGCACATTCTTCGCCTTTCGTTTGTGTATATCTTAAACAATTTTAACCTGTATTGAACTTAAACATTTTATTTTGTGGTCAAATTGTGTTTAAAGTTTTAAGTGTCCCCTTTATTTTTATAAACGTTCTTCTGAGTAATCATACACATTTTAATTTAATTTACAGGTGGCCGTTTGTTGCATCTGTTTTTTCGTTATTCTTCCTCTAAATCTTGTTGGTACAATACTTGGCCGAAATCTGTCAGGTCAGCCCAACTTTCCTTGTCGTGTCAATGCTGTGCCTCGTCCCATACCGGAGAAAAAATGGTAAAGAGAATGCTAAATCTTATGTCATTGTTTCTCACAATATAGAAGTTCTTAAGGCTATTCTGTAGATAAAACTTTCAGGATTGGCATGCGTTTATAAGAATGACTGTCTTAAGAATTTGTCTTTTTAATTTTTTCTTTCAACCTGTATTGTTCGCAGTAGTAATCAATTGTATCCTTATTTTACTTTCTGAATATTGGTCCCATTTACAGATAAATTTAAATGCTTTGATAAGTATACTAGTGCGTAGAGGTGGGTGGGAACTAAAGCTGCAACAGTTTTATTATCGTAGTACTCAGGCTGGAATTGACCTGCTGCCTGTTTTTGTAAGTAATGTTTTGTTGGAACATACCTACGCCTGTTCATTCACAGATCTGTGACTGCTTTTACACTGTGGCATCAGAGACAGAGACCTGTCACCTGCCAAACCGGAAATATTTCCTGTCTGAAACTTCACAAGAAAAGTTTGCCAACCCTTGGCTTATCATTTCATTTTCCTTTCCAGATATTTTGTTATTCTAAATAATACACACATTTATAGCCACATTGTACCAGTTGAGAGATGAATTAGAACTAAGACCAATTATAATTTACTGACTTAACATTCTTTATCTTCTGGGATAGTATAGAATGTCAGATACATCCTGTTGTGTTTTATGCATAAAATGTGTTCTTAAGGAATCTTAGAATTCAATGATGAGTATTTCTGTTAAACAAGTGAAGAGATTTTTTAATTGCAGTAAACATAGTTTGCAGTTTATTTGACCAGTCAACTTTGAAATTATGATTCTAGATGGATTTTTAACTTGAGATAATTTGTATTTTTTCAAATTTTGGACATAAAATGGGATGTCATTAATATGTTATATTTCTAATTTTTATAATTCAAATTTGAAAAAAGATGAACTCCTGAATATTATCCCTTTAAAAATCAGTCAGTTGAATGTTTCAGGGCTGATTTATGCTATTCTCTATTCTTCATTTCCTGATTCTTACTAGCAGACAAAAGTAGGCAGTCTTACTGTATGTACATTTATCACATTCTCCTCACTTAAGAAGAGCGACACAGTAGACTCTCTTCATACATTGAAAAGCCTCTGTTTCTAGGTAGTTTACCTCATTATAGACACAATTTGTATTCAGAGACTTACACATAACACATACAGTCTTTTGTAGACTTGGGGGTATACAGACATTTATAGAAATGGAGGCTGAACAGCACAGCACCTGTAGCCTAAAGAAGGGTGATCTGGTCTTAGGATTGTCCATGTTCTCTTTTTTTGTTAGACTGAGATTATGAGAACTTTTATAGTTTGTTTTTTAAAGTCCATTTTCTTTTTCAAATCAAGGTTAGACTCCAGGTCACTAGGGCTGGTGAAGGAGAGGAAGGAACAACACGTGACCTTGCAAACCATGGGTCACAGTTAAGTGGAGGAAGGCTCATGTGTATCTTTATTTTCTTCATATAGTTACGTGGGACTAAAATCTGAATACTAGATCTGGCCCTCATTGACTTGTTGGGAAGATCATTTTTAACCTCTGTGGTCTTGGATTCCTATAAAAGGAAGAAAGAAGACTAAATTAAATGTTTTTTAAGGTTTTTTTTTTTTTCCAGCTTTCACACCCTGATTTGTTCTCATCTTTTTAGTTTGTTTATCCCAGAGATAGTAGTTTTGTATTTTTTATGTGCCAGACACTGGGCACTGGGAATACCTAGATGAATAGCTTCTGCCTGCCAGAGTATATAGTCTAGTGAGGGATGATATGTATATAATTGCAGCTCAGCATAGTGTGGGGTAAGTGCTGCCAGAGTTATATTCAAGAGGCAGTGCAAGTACGGGGAAGATACCCACCTCTCTCAGGACTTGGGCAGGGCTTTATGGGGAGAACACTTGGGCCAGTACTTGCAGGAGAAGTGTGATGAGAGAAGGCATTCCAGGTGGAGAATTACCAGTTGTATCAACATGTGTTTGTTGAGTGAATGAATGAGGTTTGGATTTTATTTTTTATCCACTCTTGACTCCATTATAACTCAGAACTCAGTACCTTAATTGTATAATTCACAAGGAAAGGAATTGCCAACCCAAGGAATGCATGAGCAAAGAGATGGCAAGGCCACAGTTTGGGAAACATTACTTCAGAGAGGGGTCCCAAGACTTTTCTTTTCCTATGGCTTTCTATATTAAATGCCTGTGAAATCTTTAGAAGTTATTGAGAGATGCAGAAGAGGAGCAAACATGTAAGGGTTTTTCCTGAGTTCTGTTGGTGGCAAGAATTTATATTCTCCAGATTCTTATCTTGACCTTCAATGCCAGAAAGAATTTGGTCTATAACCTATGGCTGATTTGAAGTCCTACCTCTATATTGTGCCTCTTTGAATTTTTGTTTTTTTCTTCCTGCTGGTTTCTTTCTATCCCTTAGATTATTTTAAAGTACCAAGTATCTGCTTTCTGTTATCGGGATTTATATAATACAATGTGAAAATCACACTAGAAGTTTATTGCTAATGTTGATATTTTCCAGGTTCATGGAGCCTGCAGTTATTGTTTGCCTGGGAGGAATTTTACCTTTTGGCTCAATCTTTATTGAAATGTAAGTTGTGGCAATGCATTTATGTTTTGAGGGATGTAATTTTAATAAGAGAATGTAGGAGTTAGGGTAGGTGTAGAATCATCAGAAGGGAAGGCATCTAATAGAGTTAGTTTGTTAATTTCATGGCTCCCAGAAAGAGACCTTACATTATGTATCTAAAACAATATTTCCTCCTGTGATTTCAAATATTCTGTACTGTGTTCTAGAGCCTCCTTACCTAACGAGATCTTAGAAATCAAAGAATGCATGCTAAAGAGTACGAGACTAGCCTTTGATCACATGCATGATATAAGGAATTACTGGTTTTTAGTGTATTTTTAAAGTATTTGAGGGTCCAGGGAACTAGTAAAACATTACCTACCAGTCTGTCTAGATCTTGAAGTCTGTAGATACCTAGTTATTCCCAGTCTCCTTCCACAGAGGCCTGCCAGAGTGCTGGAAAATGTTAAGTGTTTAGGGGTAGAAGGTATGCCACCCTGTGCACAGTTATTGTGCTTCACACCTGCATCCTTGGTCACTGCTGCAGAACAGACGTCTTTCCTCAGCTTGTGTTCCAGTGTCCCTTGATGGGAATGCTCTGGCATTTTTATTTAGGCAAGATAGCTCTTTGCATGCGACTTTCTCAGAGATTGCAGACATACACCTCTGGCTCTTGCCTACAGACATACACCTCTGGCTCTTGCCTACAAAATGCCCATCACTGTGACTGCTCAGAATTCCCTTACATGTTTCCAAATGCGCCACTACTGATTTTCTCCTGTACAATGGACGCCGCCTTAACAGACATGATTGGATAGGATAATTGGATAAATCAAAGTTGGCTCATGTAAGGCTTATTAAAAAAGATTCATACATAACATTTTATTTTAACTTAAAACAACTAAAGATATATCTTTAACTCTTTTTAAAAATAACCAGAATCTTTGATTTAGATCTAGCTGATGTTTCCGTCATTTTCCCTTTGACATTTATGATGCATCTTCTATGTTTCCAGCCTTTTAAAAGTGGGACAAGAGCATAAAGACCTGTCTCAAGCATTCTGAGTGTGAAAACCTTTTAGATTTGTACATTTCTCCCCCAGACTTTCATAGCTATATCGCCCACACCTAATTTCATGTTGTTGTTTTTTAAGTGACTCACGTTATTGAATTTCTCCAAAACATTCATATAATGTTCATTGAAATCATGCATCCTTTCTGCTGTCATGTTATTGGTGTATGTAATATTCAGTTAAATTATCTAATTATACTAACAAGTACAGTTGATCGAGATTTGGGTCACCCATGCTGGCCACCTACCACCAGCTGCGAGTGTGCTGTGGGCATTAGTCAGTACCTTAGAGGAACGGGAGTGCATGTCACTCTAACTTGTGGTTTAATAAAGCCAGTTCAGGAACCTCTTCTGTACTTCTCGGCTGATACACTGCTTTGTGTCCTCACCCTAACTTGACCTCTATTTTTCCCTCCTACCCCTGTTCCCAGTACCTTCTGGATCACATCTCTCCCTGCTTTCTCAGGTACTTTGTTCCATTAGATAGCCTCTCTGCTCTATCCTTAAGTTCTGTTTTGATAACCCTCATGTATTCTCCTCTCGGTAGCCAGTGATCTTCTTAAGGTATTAGTCCGATCAGGTCACTTCTTTGCTAAAGACTTTATTTTCATTGAGGTAAAGTCCCCACAATGCCGTAACATAGCCAGTAAAGACCTTTGTAATACAGGATCTGGCCTTATTCGCTTCTCCAACTTCATCTTTTAGCTCTCACCCCTTCATTTGTAGTTCTAGCCATATTCAGTTACTTTGAATTTTTCTAAAAACAGCAAATTCCCTTATTGGTAAGCTTTGCCTTTGCTGTTCCTATTTCTGCAACATTCTTATGGCTCCCCTTACCCCATATGTCATATTTATTCTCTCACTACTCCTCCCCAGAGCCCCACCTAACCAGCTGGTAAGATGCCTCTCTTAGTTACATTGGTAAAGCACGTGGTGCATCAGGACTGCCTCCTTACTGGTGTTCCCCACTTTACAATAGTGTCCTTGAGGGTAGAGACTATCATTTTCATAGTTCTGTTCTCACTGCTTCTCCGATATGTGGTAGGGCCTTCAAATATCTACTGGAAGGATGAGTGACAAATAAGTGAGCTAAACAGAGAATAAGAAAAAGAAAAGAGGCTTAAGGCCCCTTTTCTAATGAAGACTTAGGGAATGGAATTAGAGTGAAGGGTCTTTTTCTTCATGTAAAATGTTAATGCTCTTTCTCTTGATGTCCTCCAAAAATAGCAGGAAGCTTCGTTAAACTTTCTTTTTTCTGGTTATTTTTATTTTCCTAATTTTATACATTATTATGCTATCAAACCTACTTTTAAAATTTTAGTAGGGTGTTTGTGAAATCTAAAATACACTGCTTGAATAGTGTTGTATCTAGAAAAAAAGTGAAAGAATGTGGGAATTGCCTTTATTCGACAGATATGAATTTTTAGCTATTTTCATTTTTCTTTGCCATATTTTACTCCTTTAAGCTTCTAATGTATTCAGTTTGCTTAGAGATGGATGCCCTACTAAAAAATCTGTTCTTGAAAGATTATCCAAGAAAATATTTTTGAGAGATTTTGGAGGATTGAACAGATGAAAAAGGATAAGACAAACTGTTGGAAGTTATTTGAAAGTAAATAATTGAGGGGTGCCTGCATGGCTCAGTCAGTTAAGTGTCCAACTCTTGATTCTGGCTCAGGTCATGATCTCACAGTTCATGAGATCAAGCTCCACACTGAGCTGTTTGCTGACAGTGCAGAGACTGTTTGGGATTCTCTCCCTCTCTTTTAGCCCCTCCCCTGCTTGTGTTCTCTCCCTCCCTCCCTCCATCTCTATCTCTCTATCTCTATCTCAAAATAAGTAAACATTTTTAAAAAAAGAAAATAATTGAGATGTATGCTAGACAACAGTGAGAACTGAGATGTGAGGCTTAGCAAAGGGGTGAGCTTCAAAAATAGAGACAAAACTATGTCTTTATTGTATTTTATGTAGGTATTTCATCTTCACATCTTTCTGGGCATATAAGATCTATTATGTCTATGGCTTCATGATGCTGGTGCTGGTCATCCTGTGCATTGTGACCGTCTGTGTGACCATCGTGTGCACATACTTTCTACTAAATGCAGAGGATTACAGGTGGTAAGTACTTCTATCGGGGAAGAACTTAAGGGGACCCTAATATTTTTAAATAAGATGCCGTCTGAAGTGTATCAAGTAGAGTAAAAGATCTATATAGAAATTTTGCTACCTGAGATAGTATAAGAAACTTTTTTAGTATGAAGATTTTAGAGGAAAAGTACTATTAGCCAGAAGTTTTTGTGTTCATAATGGTCACTCTTTTACAAACTATTTTTCCAAAGTGCTTGATGTGGAAAGAACATTATGAGGAAGCATTGCTCTATTTTAAACAAAAGAAGACAGTTCTGAAAAGGAAGTGGTTTATTTAAGGTCATTTATAATAGGAAATCTGACAGAATTCAAATCTCTCCTATTTCTTAGGCTTTCTCCTTGATGGTATATTTAAATGCCATCTACATGTATTTGTTTTTAAACATACAGAATTTTAAAGAATGTTCTTATAAAATTCTTTGCTTTAAAATCTGTTTCAATGCCATTCATTCAAAAGAGTCACTTTTTTTTTTTCAGGCAATGGACAAGTTTTCTCTCTGCTGCATCAACTGCAATCTATGTTTACATGTATTCCTTTTACTACTATTTTTTCAAAACAAAGTAAGTGGAGACATTTTCTCATTTTGTATTTAGGAAACTAAAGTTGTCATTTAAATACTAGAATTTAAGAGTAAAAGGTAGAGGATAGGGAGTATAGTTAGTGGTATTGTAATAGTGTTGTGTGGTGACACAGGGAGCCATGCTTATAAGCACAGAGTAGCGTGTAGACTGTTGAGTCACTTTGTGTACACTTGCAACTAAGGTAACATTGTGTGTCAACTAACTATACTTCAACTCAAAAAAAATTAAATTAGTAGAATTTAAGGTCCTATGTTGAAAGTACAAATGAATTTACTATATATTTTTTTGCTTTATTTTAGGATGTATGGCTTATTTCAGACATCATTTTACTTTGGATATATGGCGGTATTTAGCACAGCCTTGGGGATAATGTGTGGTAAGTTCTGAAATTTTGGGGATATCATGAGTAAATTTTTGAGATTTTTAGAATCAGAAAAATACAGTAACTGGAAATTAAGAAATTATATTATTTTGCTTGATCAGGGACAACAAAATAGACTCAAGAGTCTGATTTTAGGCCTTAAGATATTGCTAAAAAAATTGTCACTGATTCTCTTTTGACTATTCCTCAAAAATTCATCGATTATTTTTTAATATTCTGTTCCTAATAATCCTGTATTGCACTATTTTCTGTACCACAATTAGTTTCTCGTTCATATTGAAGTTTGGTAATTTTTTTAACTTAGGCTCATTGGAAAAGATTATGATGGAAACACATTAAGGTGATGACTGAATGATTCCCGTTGGGAAGTTTCTAGGACTATTCATGGAGATAACAGTGTCCGAAAAGCAGTATCTGAGTTATAAGTAGACAACTTGGGAGTCTGCAGACTGGGCTTAAGTTCTGGCCGTGCCATATGTATGTTCTGTACCTTGATCCAGTTCTCCACACTCTCCAAACTCTAAAATGAGGATAAATACCACTGTTTTTTGGAGTCTGTCACAATCTTCCATTAAATAGAAGTAATAGTTATTACCATATGATAGAGTCTCTAGCATGTGTGAACTGACTAGAAGATAAAGAATTTTTGGAAGCAGCATGATAAACGGAAAGGGCATGGAGGACTTGAGAGGCCCAGATTAAGGCTCCAAGCTGCTTTTTTGTGGTCAAGGGGAGTCCTGTGGAGCACTCTAAATCTCATTTTCTCATTTGTGAAATGAGCATACCTGTCAGCGTAATTGTCTGTAATAGCACCATGTATAAAGCACATGCGCAGTGATCCCAGTTATGTGGGAGACATGGCAGGGAGTGGGAAGAGCTGGGGCTTCTGGGGTCATTCAGTCCTCCCGCAAATCCTGCTGCCCCTGCTTAATAGCCATGTTACTCTGGCCAAATTACTGAACCTTTCTTCCTCAGTGTATTCATTTGCAAAACAAAAGCAACCCTTACCTCAGAGGGTTGTGATGAGGATTCGGTGGTTAGCTGTGGACAGACAGGACGAGGGCTGATGCTCAGTGAGTGGTGGCTGCTGCTGTTACTGTATTGACAAGGGCCAAAAACCCATGGGCTTCCTTCTGTTCTGGGATTGTGTCTCTGCTTCTATGGTTTATTCAAGATTCTCCATCTTGTGTTTTTACCTCAAAACAATTTCATGAATAGTGGTACCTTAAGGAAAATGCATACAAGCAACTTACTTTTTTTTCTGGCTCAGTTTTTCACTTGATAATTGAGGCTAATTCCCTACTTCCCTAATAGGAATGATGCCAGGCTTAAGGACTAATCACCGTGGAAACATTTCCAGATAGTTTAAAATTTATACCCTTCTCCTTTCTCTTTTATTTGCCATTGACTTTTTTTTTTTTTTTTGTAGTTCCATCTCTAGCTATAGGATAAGCAATAGAATAAGGAAGATATGATAGTCTTGTTAGACACTGGGTTCTGGTATGACATTTGTGGGCCTCTGGTGTGCCAAGACTGCTTTTTTTTTTTTTTTCCATCAAAAGAATCCTTTCCACAGATTGGTGGTTATCAAGGGCAGGGGGATTAAGGGCATGGGCACAATGGATGGAGGTGGTCAAAGGTACAAACTTTCAGTTATAAGGTGAGTAAGTTCTGGGCATGTATGGTGACTAAAGTTAACAATACTGTCTTGTATATTTGAAAGGTACTAAGAGAGTAGATCTTAAAAATTCTCATCACAAGAAAAAATTCATAACTACGTGAGATGATGGATGTTAATCAAATTTATTGTGGAAGTGGGGCACCTGGGTGGCTCAGTTGGTTAAGCATCCGACTTCAGCTCAGTGGGTTCAAGCCCTGGGTTGGCCTCTATGCTGACAGCTCAAAGCCTGGAGCTTGCTTTGGATTCTGTGTCTCCCTCTCTCTCTGCCCCTCCCCTGCTTACACTCTGTCTTTCTCTCTCTCAAAGAATAAATAAACATTTTAAAAAATTTAAAAAAATTAATTGTGGACATTGTTTTTTTACAGTATATACATATATCAAACCACTGCATTGTGTACCTTAAGTAAAAACAAATATTTTATGTCAATTACAATCTGTCCCATTTATATATAACCACGTACATCATCATGGGTGCACACGCGCGTGCGCGCACACACACACACACACACAAACACATATGACATCGACGGTAAAGCAGTAAAACTAACTCCACAAGCCATAAGGAGAGACAGTTCTTTATATTATGGTCACATATTAAAGCCGCTATGATAACCTTTCCTTGTGATACTTAATTAGTTAACCAACTTTGAGAGAAAGAGGATGAGGAACTGAAAGTTAAAACTAGGTATGTATTACATGGGAACATCCTTGTGTATCTCTAGGCAATCAGAAGTTTCCTTTGGTGTTTCTAGCCTGCCTTCCTTCAGAATGTTGCTCTGCAAACCCCACTTTCCTTACCCTGAGATCTTTCTTGATCATCACCAGCGTTCTGTGATGTATAGAATCATGGGATTATTACAGAGGGTTAAAATTTTTGTTCTTTACTCTATATGTGATCTTAGGAAGACCTAGAGAGATACGATCTTGACATTTACAAAGAAAATAAAATGAATTTAGCTAATTTTTTTAGTGCTTTTCCTGTTGAAATTTCATCTTGTTGCCTGAAAATCTGGGCACATTTACAGCTCCCTGCTGTTCTGGCAGGGTCCCAGCATTTCTCCTTTAATGGGTTTATGTGCCTTCAGTGCTGATCTGTTTTGGGGGGGGGGAAGGGAAACAGTTCAGATGAACTGATTAAAATGCCATCTAATACAAAAATTGTATATGCTTATCAGGTTATATTGCTAAAATGCTTTTTCAGCCAGTAATCAAAAGAAAAGTATTTATTAATTTTTTTTTAACATAGGAGAGAGAAATGACTGTTAAGGTAGAAATAATTAGATTGTTACAGTTTTCATATTTTGAGCATAGCATTTTTTAGTTCTAAGAAAATTAAGTTTAAAAGTATATCTCTTATTCTTAAGACATTTTCTTCTCTAGAGAGCATATTTAGTATCTTCCTTTTATAAAATCATATTTTTGTAAGTTTATTCTTGAGATACTCATAAGATTAGGAAAAATGATTCTCTAGGTTGATACTGTTTTGCTTTTAAACATCTCTGCTCAAAGGGGAGCAATGTTTTATAAGTCTGGAATACTAGATTTGGTTATTGGACTAGTATTATGCCAGTTAAATTTGTGATTCTAGTTAAAACTTTACAGATTTTTTAATGTTTTAAGAATTCGGTTTATATTTACAAAATTGATATTTTTCCCGTTACTTTGTAAGGACTTCTATTATAGCTGTTTCAAAATAAATTCTGACTATCTTCAAGTGTAGTGTAATTACTTCATATTATAAAATAAATATCTATTTATTGCAAAAATAATTGGAAATAAGTTTGCTTTTGTTACTTGGTGGGTTTTAAGAATACTTTTAGTATAACAGAGTGCCTGGATGGCTCAGTTGGTTATGCATCTGACTTTGACTCAGGTCGTGATCTCACAGTTTGTGAGTTTGAGCCCCACATTGGGTTCTCTGCTGTTAGTGCAGAGCCTGCTTTGGATCCTCTGTCTCCTTCTCTCTCTGTCCCTTCCCTGCTTGTGCTCTCTCTCTCTCAAACATAAACATTAAAAAATAAATATGTATATTTTTTGTATACATAGTGAATCCCCACGTACCACCCAACATCAGTAATTATCAACTCATCGCCAATCTTGTCTTACTCATATTCCCACTTTATCCCCCTTTATTCTGATAGGAATCTCAGACCTCAGGTCACTTTTAGCTGTAAATATTTCAGTATGTGTATGTATGTGTGTGTATATATATATTAATATAGTTATATAATATAGATATATGTATAATAGTATAGTAATTATAGAATGTTTAAGTATACACATATATATAGTTCCTTCATATGCTCAGATATTCAGTTAGTGTTCACATTTATCCCACCCATCCCCATTTCTTTTTTCTTTTTTAATGTTTATTTTTGAGAGGGAGAGAGTGAGCGAGTGGGGGAGGGGCAGAGAGAGAGGGAGGCACAGAAACCAAAGCAAGGCAAGCTCCCAGCTGCCAACACAGAGCCCAATACGGAGCTCAAAACCATGAACCATGAAACCATAACCTGAACCGAAGTCGGACACTCAACTGACTGGGCCATGCAGGTGCCCCCACCCCCATTTCTTTTTTAATACCGTTTGTTTGCATCAAGATCTAATTAAGGTCCACACATTGCTTGGCTAAAATGTTTCTTGGGGCTTTTTTAATCTATTGATGTTCTCTCTCTTTTCCCTTGCAATTTATTTAAGAAACTTCCACACTGAATTTTACTGAGGTTTTAATGTTTCTTTTCCATGTACTTCTCCCCGTATTTCCTGTGAAGTGGTAGGACTACTCATATTCAGGAGTACTTGTCCAGCAGTACTTCCCAGGGGTCTGTAAACTTAATCAAGAGGCACTTAATGTCTGGCTTTCTCTTTGTGTAGTTAGCAGCCACTGATAATTATTGCCTAGTTCAAATAATGCATTAATGGTTATAGTATTCTAATTTTTGTTGTTCCTTTTATATGTATTAGCTGGGGTACTTCTATAAGGAGAAACTTCTTTTCAACAACCATTTGGTTACCTTGAGGTACAGTTCATATATAGGAAAGGCAGAATAGATTTCTTTCTTTCCTTGTATACACCAGTTGGGTGAATAAAAGTTCAAAGGTGACTAATTAGGGGTGTGTGTGTGTGTGTGTGTGTGTATGTGTTTGTTTGTTTTTATCATTATTATGGAAGATTAGCTTTTAAACTTTCCATTATATTGGGCTTAGATGATAAATTTCTAAATCCAGTGGAGAATCTTCTCTATGACTTGATTAACTAGCTGTCTTGTTCTGAGGATCCCTTAGTATTTAGTAAAGAGCTATCCAGTTCATTCATTAATTCAACAGATATTTATTGAGTGCCCTGTCATGTGCCCAGTGCTCTCTTAGGCATAGGAGGTAGATACCCAACTTAGCAAAACAGATAAATACCCTTGCTTTCTGCAGTTGTGAGCCTCATATGAGGCTAATTATTCAAAAATAACATTGCATAACTCCTGACCTTACCTGTCTCTCTCATCCACTTCCTCAGACATGTCTTCTTTTCTGCCAACCTCACACAGCTTCTGTAATTTAAAGATAAAAAGAAACCATCAGAAGATGCCTCTTTAGAGCTTCAAATGCCATTGAGCCATGGTTCTCAGTCCTTTCCTGAGAGAATCCCATACTTCTTACTTCCATTTAGGTGTCCTAGGATTTGGGGAACATGTTAAAATGGTTTAAATGACCTAGAATAATATATGCTCAAATTTTAAAAAGACATGTTTTTTTAACAACATTTAACACATTTTTGTCCTTAGCAAATTATTCTTGCTTTATAAGTGATGTATTCTAATTCATGTAGCTATTAATTATAGATGTAGTAACTGATAATTCTAAAAATACCACATGAGGTCTAACTTGGTATATAACAGTAGCAGATGATTTGCAAAGCAAACGATGTAACTTTAACAAATCCAGAGTGAGTACTGATATAAAGATGTAATCTTGAAAAAAAAGTAACTTTCCAGAGCAGAGAGCATTTAGTATTTATAAACGATGGATACTGCTCTGTATATATTTACTTCAAAACATCTTCTTTTATCTTTGCAGGAGCAATTGGTTACATGGGAACAAGTGCCTTTGTCCGAAAAATCTATACTAATGTGAAAATTGACTAGAGACCCAAGAAAACCTGGAACTTCGGATCAATTTCTCTTTCATGGGGTGGGACTTGCACAGCAAAAAAAGCGCAAGAAGAGATTTGGGCTTTCACACTGGGTACTTTGTGGGTCTCTCTTTCGTGGATGGCTTAACGTAACATCTGTTTCCATTGATCCTAGGTTCTTACTGACTGCTTTCTCCAACTGTTCACAGCAAATGCTTGGATTTTATGCAGTAGGCATTACTACAATACATGGCTAATCTTCCCAAAAACTAGCTTATTAAAGATGAAATAGACCAGCTCTCTTCAGTGAAGAGGACAAATAGTTTATTTAAAGCATTTGTTCCAATAAAATAAATAGAGGGAAACTTGGATGCTAAAATTACATGAATAGAATCTTCCTGGCACTTAGTGTTTCTACATTATTGAAAAATGATGTTCCAGAAAGATTACTCTTTTCTCTTATTTTTACTGTCATCGTCAACCTGTTGTGGGACGTTTTTATATATTGAATCTGGGTTCTTTATTGACCTGTTTTTTTCCCCCAATTCAACTGCATCCTTTTTTTTTTTTTTAAAGGAATTAAAAAACATTAAATCCTGCATGTAATATATCTGCTGTCATCTTAGTTGGACCAACTTCCCATTTATTTATCTTAAAACTTCAGTTCCATCTTAATTCCATCCAAAGAAGATACAGTCTGAAGATAGAGGTGTATTCTCTACAATGCAATTTACTGTACAGTTAGAAAGCAAAGTGTTAAATGGAGAAGACATTTGTTTTTATTAAACATTTTGAGATTTAGATAAACTACATTTTAACTGAATGTCTAAAGTGATTATCTTTTTCCTTCCCCCAAGTTAGTCTTACATCTTTTTTGGGTTTGAATGAAGGTTTTACATGAGAAATTATTAAAAACAAGGGGGGTGGGTAATAAATGTATATAACAATAAATAATGTATCGTAGGTGTAGATTCTCAAATGCATTTGGATGTACAGATTGACTACGGAGTACTTTTTTCTGATGATAATTGGTGTAGAAATGTGTGATTTGGGGTGGCTTTTTACATCTTGCCTACCACTGCATGAAACATGGGGTTCCTTCAAAATGTGTGTGTCATACTTCCTTTGGGAGGGGGGATTGTTTTCTTCTGTTTCTTTTCTGAGACTCCTACAGGAGCTAAATTTGTAATTTAGAAGCATTTAATTTTGTTAATCCTGTCTGGGGCACTTAAGTAACATCTAAAGCATTACTGCTTTAGAATGGTAAAATAAACTTTCCTGACCAAATTGTTTTGTGAAAATAGATGTGTTTGCAATTTGAAGATATCTTTTCAAAAGGCAATATTACTGAATGCAATTTTTTAATACACTGTAAACTATGCTTTTCTAATATAGGAGACCCACACTTTAAAATCCCCAAACTTGCTTACATCTAGATTATACAGTATAGTCATAAAGTAAATGATAAGCCCTTTGAATTAAATTGTGGCACAAAAATCTGTTCAGATTGATGTACCGCGTAAAGTGAGGATGGGGTAAAAGTGGTTAGCTTACAATTGGATGAGCAAATAAAGGTTACAGTTTTCTAAGAGAAGTGATTTTAATTTTGAATACATCTTTCTGGAACTATCCATAATGTGAAGTTTTCCTAGAACCATTGAGTTTCTAGTTTAATAGTTTGCTATGCAAATGACCACCTAAAACAATACTGTATATTGGTATTTTTAGAAAGACTAAAAACCGCTGTATTTAAACTTTAATGTGAAACTCATGCCATTTATAGTTACATAAGATGTTTTCATTGCAAAATGTTTCTATAAATTGACTCTGCATCCTATAATGTGGTATGTAAGGACTGTAAAGAGTGAAAAGTTTGATTTCTGACCACTTAAGTATGGCTGACATGAACAAATAGGAATTTGATCAGAAGCTGTAGGTAAATCCCTTCTTCAGGCCAAAATGTTGTATTAAATGTGATCTACTGATTCTTCCATTTTCTCTCCCTTCTCACCTGCCTTTAAGATCTTATAAGAAAAGAAACTGCAAATCAGTGTTTAATGGCTTATATAACTTTTACTACATGTAAAGTACTTACAACAATGTATAGTCTGTCTGATGGACTAGAAATTGGACAGCAAGCTTTTGTCTTAATAAAATGAAATTTGTTTCGCATGAATCTTGCAGGTAAGATGTAGGGATTTAAGAAAATGAGTGTTTTAGCTGCTTTCAGGTATACCAATTCTTTTTACTAAATTGAGCTCTATTTCAAGTCCTTTGGAATTATTTGGAAAAATAATTTTCTAACTTCCAGATATCTTAAGAATGTCATTAAAAGGAATATAAATTGCCTTGAAAGTCCTTTAGAAAAAATGTTTTGGTTTATTCCTTCATGGAGGGGCTGGCTCTATGTGTGTCTTGAAGAAGATGTAATCCACAGTTTAGCTCCCTAGCTCTCGGTTATAGAGTAGTAAAAAATAGAATATTATTTAAGTTAATTAAAGGGTGAGGTTCTTACACTCCATTAATGCTGTGTATCTGTCTTTCATTTGTTTGCTCAGCTTATCAACTGATGCTTTGAACTCTATCAAAATTTAGTGATAAACTTTTCTCCTTGTATCTATAAGCATGCTTCTCCTGAAATTTAGCTACAGTAGTAATCAACATCATTATTCATCTATCCTCATATAAGGCCAGGATAAGGTGGGAATGAAATGGCTGGAGGTATGGTAAGGCATTCTTTGGTATATCCTATTGGGCTCCTTAATTGTACTATATTTGATAAATCAAGCCCCACCGTCTTAGAATTCATTATACTGTGGTGATATCTCAACTTAGTGAATGGTCCATGGGGTGTTTTCCATTGGCAGTAGTTATAAAAGGTGGTTGCTGCAAATTCTACTTCCAAAATCCATTTTATTTAGGGTTTAGCCACAGATTGTATTCAGTTTGTTAAAGCTTTTGTTTCCTAAGTGTTTGCTAACCACCTTATGCCAAATGTTTTACAAATAATATTCCTTTAAGATTTCCTGAATTTTTACAAATGTTAAAAAGAAAAAAATGTATTAATGTAATTTGTTCAGGAAAAGCTACATACTAAAGGGCTTCTGTATATGAATTCTGGGAAAGAAAAGCCTATTTGTAATTTATACCCTGCAGTTCCATCTGGGTTTTAAGTTTAGATTTCAGCATGTCTTAGTTCTTCAGTCTGTTTATTTATTGGAACATATAATAAATAGGAGCAGTGACATATGAAAATCCAAGTATTCATTAACGTTTTATATCTTCATAAAAATTCCATGGTTATGAAGCTGTACTTTAGAAATCAAGATGTTAAAGAGATGGGAGAAGTGAAAATTTATAAAGATTGTTTGGAAGTGTATCCAGAAATAGACCAGTGTAGAGGTAGGGTAGATCAGAAAGTGAACATAGAGCTGCAGAAATTTTGTAAGATTTAAATGCAGTATGAGGAAGAACTCTAGTTTTCTCTTATGAGCATCTTCTGAAAGCCGTCTGATTTGGCATTCTTATTGGAGCTGTAGGCGGAATTGTGCAAAGACAAAAGCAAAATTTAAGTTTTTATTTTACTGTTTCAGGAAATGGGAATAGAGAACTGTCATGGAAGCAGCTTACATATGAGTATTGGTGAGCTGGGTGTGCAAGTGACTGAAGAGGCAGAGTTTTGTGTATTTACCCCAGTTCCTCAGTTTAGGTCATTTGAAAGTTATAAACATGATAAGTAAGATCTTAAGGCAAGGAACAAATAACATGGAATGCTGTTTTGAAGAATAACAGAGTATAGACGGAAAAGCAGCCCCATTTGGCCTTTTCATCTGTGTTAAATTTGAACCTATAAATCCCCACAGAACATGGATAGTACCAGTTGGAAGGAAACAGTTATTGCTTGGTGATTACTTCCATTTTGTACACAACTTTGCTTTGTGTAGGTCATATTCCAGCTGGCTTTTTAGTACTAGATCCCCAATATATACTGTATCAAATACATTTGAGGTTCTAATCTAGTCTGTTAATCTAACTGAAGTTGAATTTTTAAAATAATAAAAAGTTAAATGTAATTTCTTTCCTTGGATGCTTTATTTCTTTCCTTTTTGAAACAAATGAACCAGACATACTAGATAACCCACTATTATCGGTATGCATTTAAAGGGATTACTGATAGATAGCCTTCCGTAAACAGGAGTCCACAAACATTTGCTGTAAAGGGCAGATAGGAAATACGGAGGCCTTGAGAGGCAGATCCAGGTAGTCTACCTTTGTACCACAATAGCCAGAGTAGGTAGTCCGTGACCCAATGAGCATGGCTGTTTTCCATTATGACACCAATAAAAACAGCCAGTGGGCCAGTTTGCTGACCCCTGCAATGAAGGATTTAAGATTTGATTTTTCTCCCAACTTCTCATTTTGGAAAAAAAAAAAAACAAAGTTGAAAGAATGGTACAACAAGTAAGATTGTCTTTTAAAAATTATTTTTCGTTTATTATCATTCTTTTGACTTCTAAGTACAAGCTGTGACTCCTACACTCAAACCCCACTACCCCCATGCCTGTCATTCTTCTGATTGATAATAAATTATCTAGTCAAAGCAGTGTCACATATGTTCCCTCACAACCATTCTGTGGAGCTGGTAGGGCGGACCACTACATACTTCAGAAAAGCTGGAACAGCTAGAGTATATTATTTTAGGCCTGAAATAATCAAGATCAGGGTCCTATTGTCTTGGCCACTGTTGCCGTAAAATGGGGAGATCGTTTCTCCAGTCTGTGGAGCAGGTAGTATTGTTCTCTACCAAGGAAGTGGTTCTTTTTATTGTGCTACATCGAAATCAGTGGTTAATTTCTGTAGGTCAATTTGTATGTTTTTTGTCTCCAGCTTTAGTTCTTTAAATCCTTGTCAACCTTCTTGGTTCTTTCCTCCTGATTTTATTAGCTGCCTCAGTCAATACGTATACTTGACAAAGTCCTGTTAGCCAGATAGTTTAAGTTAGTACAGATTTGGATTACTTTTGCTCACTAATGAATACTTTGTGTGTGGTTGGGAAATTAGGAATCTTACACAGCCAGCTTCTGCATTTCAAAGCGAGAACTGTTTTATTAAACTTCGTTTACAGCTTAACATTGGAAAAGGGGAGTGTGCCTACAGTGGGATATGTGGAGTCGGCAGTAATGTAGTCTAAACACTTTAAATTGTTTTCAACGCTTTGCATGTTTAAGGTGCTAACTGGTTCAGATTTACAAAATGGAGGAGACAGTTGTAGGGAGAAGTTGATGTAAGTCATTTTAACTGGCCAGTGTCATGGTTATTCTTAGTGGCTCAGTCTAAGCCACTAAGATTATGGGACTTAACCTTGAAGGTCATTGACGGGAAGGGAGGGTCCAGAGAGTGAAACATGGAAGGTGATTCCAAGTTGGAGTTGGTTATAGACCAATAGGGTAGGACAGACAGAAATAGGTAAGTGTCATAAGTGTGGTAGCTATTATATAATAGGTGTTGGCATGAGGATGCAGGTTGTGTGGTTATCAAGTTGTCTCCGCAGAGACCTGGAGGTGTGAAGCAGCAAGGCCCTGTTAGGGTGACTGCAAGGTGTTGACTGCAACAAGAGAGGAGGGTGGGCAGCCAGAGGTGGCGGGAGCCAAAGGAACGCCTGAGGGTGGACGGTGAGGTGTGGTCTGCCTGGGCGGCTCGAGGAAAGATTTCGGAGAAGAGCCACGAGAGGTTTTAAACAGCTGCTAAAACTTGTAACGAATACGTTTAATAACCTCCAAAGAACTCAAAAGTGCCTTCTCAGTGGTCGGTAATGTAAGTGAAGGAATGAGCCCGCAGATGTGAGTGCCTGCTTTACTGCAGGGGTTCTGCTCCCTACCTTGGAGGAGATGGTGCTGATGTGCAGTGGCCTGCAAAGGCAGAATGAGGAGAAAGTGGCCGCTGTGGAGTAGCTGAGGATAAACCCTGGGGGTTGTAGAGGGGTTTTAGAGCTGCTGCAAGGGGACTGGATTGCTCTGGGTGTACAGAAATAGAGGGAATGAGCTGGGTGGAAGATAGACATCTGACTAAAAAGGGGGAAAAATTTGTATCCACTTGGAGGTTTTCCACAGGACCATGGGCTCTGGGGGAGGAAATCCATAAATAATTAGGAATGTGATAATGGAACTAAACTGAGCAGCATTAGGTTATTGTAAAGCCTTTTATTCTCAATCTACCTCCAGTGTTTCCATGGGATTTAAATCTTAAAATACGTATGTTTTAAAAGCTGTGTGAACTCAGGTTAGAGTTTAATATATGAAAGTAATGAGTGAGATCGGGAACTATAGAACTGAGAAAAGTCATTAATCATCCCTTTTCAGTTGTTCCTATGTAACCTTTCAATATTGTGATTGAAATGTTTTGTTCTTCGTTGTTGGCAGATAGCCACAGTCGCATCGTAACAAGGCTTCTGACCTAAAACTGCTGCTAGCCCATCCAGCAGCACCAGTGTCTTCAAAATATTTGGATGAGGAGTGTTGGTGAGGAGACCTGGTAGCTACTCACCAGGTGGGGGATTAGAAGCAATAAAAGCTCACAACCTCAGGGCCTGCACAAGAGATCTCCTGTAATGTCTACTTTCCAGAGGAATATGAGGAAGCCAGTTGGCTGTTTGCCTAGTGCCATCTGGAGACCTGGAAGTGTCACGGAAGTTTGTTAGGCCTTTTATAGATGTTGACTTTGTGGACTCGTCTGTTGACACGTGCTGACCTTCCCTGGGTTGAGAGCATGAAACAATGGCGTTGGGTTTGACTCCTTCCAGCATTCAGGCAGAAATGCCATTCAACCCCTTCCCACACCTATTGCTTGTTTAATGGCCACTTGGCCTTCCCTGCCATTTGGTGGCATCCCTTCCTTCCGAATTTCTTCCACTTGTGAGTTCCTGACTAGATGTTGCCCAATCTGGCTCCATTCTGTATGTGCCCATTTGATGATGAAGCAGGGTCAACTTGGATTTCTAAGGGCCAAGACAAAATATCCATTAGCCCTCATACAGCGGTTAATTTTTAAATCTTTACTGGTTTAAAAGACTTGTAATCCTAGTTAATAGATAAGAAAGCAGATTATCATAATGCAAGAATTCGGAGTCCTGTATAAAGCTCAGCTCTGGGCTCCTTGTCAGCTATTTTGTCATTAGTG